AATTTGGTTGCACAAGATGGGGCCAAACTGATGAATAATTCCATTGGTTCAATGAGAGTTGCTTGCAAATACATTAGGCAGAGTTCCCAAAGAAAATTGAGGTTCAAGGAGGTTGTTGAGGTTGAAAAAATTGACTCCAAGAAGTTGTTGTCCTTGAATGTGCAACATAGGTGGAATTCTTTGTACCTAATGCTTAATACTGCAGAAAAGTTTGAAATGGCATTTGAAAGGTCAGTTCTATCTATTTGAGAAGTTTACTTGGCTTATATTCATGTGCTATTATCATTTTATTAATTTATTATATTCTTTTTATATTATTTTATTATTATAAATTATAATCATTCTAATAATTAGTTTTTATCTTATATTTTCATATAATGCCATCATTCTAATAGTTTTTTTTTTTTGTACACTTGAATTCTGGTCTAGGTTTCCATCTTGTATCGATTGGGAAAACATAAGGAGGCCTATGATGTTTCTAGAACCATTTTAATTCTTGACAGAGAAAGTTTCTAGAAGTCTATATACTACTTCAAACCTGTATTTACTTGTTTTTTCCAAGTAAATAGGATTAGGAGCCATGAATGATCAATAGAGTTCTCTTTCATACCATTTACAAGATCTATTTGTTGCTGTATCTTGTCATAACGCAATTTTAATTAGGGATTGAATAATAAAAGCCAATGGACCATTCTATAAAAAATGGAAACTTGATAAAAAATGGAAACTTGAAGGGCTAAGAGGATGAAATGGAAAAAGGATGTTGTTTTGCCAATGGGCTAAAAAAAAGAGAGGCTAGGTTCAGACAAACCCTAGCCCTCATTTTCACAATTCCTCTTGTTCCCTCTTCCTTTGCCACTAGCCATTAGCCATTCTCCAAAATTCCCAAATTCTTTTGGTTTATCCCTAAATCTACTCGAGTTTGGATGGATTACTACATCAGTATGAAGAAATATTAAGATTAGAAGTCTTCGACAAGAATTGCAAAAAAAGATTTCAAAGTTGATTCAAATTGGGAGTCCTAATCTTTCAAAGGTATGAATCTAACCTTGAAAGAGGGAAGATGCATAAAGAACTAGGTTAATTTTAGAATTCCAATTTTGAATAGGACTAGATTATTATTTGTAATTTTAAGGATTTGGATTAGGACTTAGAATTAGAAAAGGATTTGAGTTCTCTTCATTTTTGCATAAAAGAGGGACTTTGACTTTAGAGAGGGGGCATTCAAAAAAAATTTTTAAAAAGAGGGAGAAATCCAGGTGTTGAGAGAGAGAAAGAGCAGAAACCAAAGGAAGAAAAAAAAAAAAAGAGAAGAAACCGTGAGAAAAAAAATAAGAGAAAGACAAAGAAGAAAGCAAGAAAATCTTGTATTCTTGAAGTTTTTCCGCAAATAAATAAGGTTAGATTTCTTTTCTTCTTCTTTAGGTATGTTTTTTTTTTTTTTTTGGACATGAAAGGTTAGAGTTTGAATTTTCTTTATAGAAATCATGCCTAATTCACTTGATCTATTTTCTTTTCCTTCTTTTCTTTTTATTTCTTGGTCGCCCTAATAGAAATATGGGAAAGATCAAAGATTGCATACATAGTGCTATATTGAATATATCTTTGTTGCATATAATTTTCTTTTCAAAAAATATGATCACTATTTTGTTACTGGAGGATTAACAGTGGAGATTAATTTTATTCATAAAATCTTAGGATTTGTTGTTAATTACATGTAGGAGTGCATTAGATAAAAAAATTGGGGAAAAGAAACTTTCTTAGGAATTATGAAATGCGTTTAGGCATTAGAAAAAAAATCGAAACGAAAAGAAAGCCTAGGAGAGGAAAAAGTGCAAAAAATTATTAAAAAAAAACAGAAATGAGGAAAAAAGAAGACAATGACAGAGTGTACTTTTTATTTATTTTTCTGAAGTGATTTCTCGGTTTTTTTTTTTT